TCAGAAGAGGGGGATTGGGGTGTGTGTGATAGGTAGGTTTGTTGTGCCAAACTGACCAGTGAACACATGGGAGATTAACTGAAGGGCGGAGAGATAAATGGCTCAGCGAGCCTCGCCTTTCTCTCTCTTGATGTTTGATCATCGGATGAGTGTGCGGCTGCCTCGCTTGTTCTGTGCCTCCATTTGCAAGCTACACTACCTGTGGGACACCTAACCCGTGGACTGTGTCGCTGTAGTTTGAGGTTCCTTCAAGACCTGCTTTACTCTACAAAGGACTACCCGGCGGCCCTCAAGACTTGAAGGACTGCCAGTGTATTAGCTGTCTCACGGGAGTGAGTTGCACTGAGCCATTTGTACTGCTCTATAGATTAATTAATTAACTGTTTCTTATCAATCTATATAAATATATATAACATTATTAGTGTCCTGGGTTTCTCTAGAGAACCTTGTCGAACATAGGGGGCCTCCACCACTCCTTATGACACTAGAAATAAAACTCAAAGACGTGACAGGGGTTTGGGTGAAGCCTAAGGGTGAGCTGTGTGGCATAGTGAGGCTCCAGGGTGACCCCCGTCCCCCTACACACACACACACTCTAGTTCCTCCAAAGTGTCTGAATCCCAAAGATCATCTCAGCATCATGCCATGGACTGGATCTACAGCCAGGAAGGAAACAAAAGCCCTTCAACCGCCCCCCATCCCCCCCACCCCCCGTACACACACCTAATTCACACAGAAAAAAATTCATGAAAAGAACACAAAGGTCCCTGTCCGCAGGGAGTGTCTAATCTAGCAATTGTGTGACACATTCACTTGGTACAAGGCCCTGGGGCCGCGTGTCAAAGTTTATTAACGAGAAACAGAAAGAGAAGGGCAGTCCTATTTGAGGGGTGCCCACAGAGGGAGCGTGCTGAGTTGTGGCCTCAGGGTCCGCCTGGCAGGGCCATGTGTCTCTCCAGCTGCCCAGCGGGTGAGCTGGGCAGTGGGGAGGGAGGAGGGAGGGCCCCATGGCCAGTCTGGCCAGTGACTCCAAACATCAGGCGGCCCTCCTGTTTCCAGACCTGATATACCCTCCCAGCACCACCACCAGCCCTGCTTCCAGGCAGGAGGTGAATTTCTGGATTAGAACCCAAACGGTTTGTCCTAAACAGACATGACACTCATCTCCAGATGAGCCCAACACAAGGCAAGATACACAGTTTTAATTCTGCCCCCTCCATTGAGCGTGCGGATGGCTATTAGCAAAGCCCCTCGAGATCTCCATGATGAACGTGTTCCAGGGCTCTACCATCCACCAGATAAAGGCACCCATTTTTTACCGGGTGTGTTAGAGCCGAGAGCCGTTTGCTAAAATGCACCATTCGGACTATATGCAGGGTGTGGGAGCAGAAAGCAATACGACCACTGAAAGAACAAGGTAACCCTGACAACGGCCTCTCCTGAGAAGCCCGGCTCAGTTTTTATACAGCTGGAGCTGTGCACAAGTTTGGGGGCTTCCCGCCATTTCTCCCTCCCTCCTGTGAACATTTGCTCAACGTCTCATGCACGAAGCCCAGTGCTAGGAGCAGGGGATAGATAGACTGTGACCACAACCTGACATGAACCTGCGTTGTGAGAGATTCACTTCCTGCCATGGCGTGAACTCTGACTCACAGAGGTCCCATAAGAGAGGACAGAACTGCCTCCAGGTTTTCAAGACCCTAAGTCTTTACAGTGGAAGCCTTGGCTCTCTTCCATGGAGTGGCTGGTGGTTTTGAACTGCTGACCTTGTGGTGAGCTGCCCAAGACATAACCACTATGTTACCACGCGTCCAGTTGTTGATCAAACCAACCACCCATCCATGGTGGTCCAACTCCCATCAGTTAGCAGCCCAATGCTTAACCCACTGCACCACCAAAGGCTCCCTGACATTGAGGACAGTGTCAAGAGCCACGAGGCAGAGCCGATCTCTGCCACTCTAGGGGACCTGGCCTCAGAAGTCAGGGAACGTTTGCAGGGGAAGGAGTGTCTGCCAACAACACACCGGGTAACCAACCGGGGAAAGGGAGCTCGTGAGGGCTGTTCACGGAAAAGGAACGTTCACCTGGCTCAGTTTAAATGCCCAGCTTAATTCCTCATCCTTTCCAGACACTTGAACTTGGCTACAGAGACACGTTCATGCTTACGTGGTAGGAGGTTTTAAAGAGCGTTCCCCTACAACGCTGGGCCAAAGGTGGCTTCTTACAGACCCACAGCCTCTCTCTGGGTGGATGTTGCGTTCTGCTGGGGACGAGTGGGAGCAGAAGTGCTTCCTCCAAGTACCTACAAGGGCAAATTTCTACAACGTCCCCTGGAACCTTATCCTTTGACACCTGGAAGACGTGTACACCTGCAGTTACTCTCATGGCTAACAGGAACAGTCTGAGTTCTGGAGATATGTCCAAAGGGCATTCAGAACCCAGAGGGGGCGGGGGTGTGACCGAGTGGGGAGCCTGATCCTGGTCACCTTTTCTCAGCCAAGAAAGAAGTTGCCTGGAGAATCAAGACTGGATTCTCAATGCTCGCCAAGAATGTCCAGGCCAGTCTCAGCCTACCATACTGCCTGGAGGCTGTGTGCCGGCACCACTGCCCTGTGTCTCTCCCCCTCTTGAGGCCCCCGCTGCAGAGAACAGCTATCCAAAGGAGACTGCTGACTCAACTGTTAAATAAGCTAACATGATACGCACAAAGCACTAACTGTGCCATTCATCAGTTACTGCCATTATTATTAATATTAGTCTCAACTGGAGCTCTGTTGGCAGACTGGGAGTTGTATCATAATCATCTTTCTACATCAGCCACAGGACAGGCCCACAGACATAGCCAGTGCTCAGGAAGAACCCCTGAATGTTAGAACGGAAATGTATTTTAAAGAAAGTATCGCTGCCGGTGCAATGCCAGCAATAGAACCACAGGGACCCAGTGGGGCATGGTGACCAGATTACCTGGGGGCCAAAGGCCAAATAGCCATGGGGCCCTCAGACAAAGTACTCAAAGGCTCTGAGCCTCCGATTCCTCATCTGCAAAATGGGCCCACATCACAGGCGCCTGTAAGCATAAAGAGAACCCTGTAAGATGTCCCATTCTAAACGCCCAGCACATATTCCCATTCTCGTCCTGGTATGGTGACCACGAGCGAAGATCGTCAACCGTCAACCTGCACCGATCGTTTGGGGCCACACCTACATTTTAAACAGCTTTCAGACACAGCAAAAAAAAAAAAAAACCTGTAGTGATTTTTCCCCCCCTAAACTTGCTTAATTGCTGTCCCCACAGCAGGACAACGGGCACAATGGCTGGGACAAAAGCTATCACTTCCCAGCCACTGTCTGAAAATGGATGGACTGATTTTTCCCATCAGGGGGCAAACAAACTCACTGCAGCTGTTTCCCCTGAAAAGGGCGATAAAATAAAATTTGGGCCGCACTTCAGGACCAAGTGAAGGCCATCTTCCCAAAGGACTCAAACGGAAGAGCTCTGGTGACCTCCGCCTCTTACCTCTACACCTAGCAGCTGTCCTGCGTTCACAGCACTGCCAGGAGACTTCCCCCGTATCCAGAAATCTAGGCTTCCTCAGATAGGTTAGGAACTTGCCTAACGTCACACAATATGTGGGTTCAGCAAGTAAGACTATGAAGCCAGGCTTTGGGGCCTGGGTGGTGAAACCAAGGTTGCTGGTTAGACTGGCTTCCTAGAGAGCCAGGAAGGCGGAAATAGCCCGTGGATAAGCAAAAGTCCAGGCCTTGTCACCAGCCCTGGAGTTCAGGAGAAAAGGGTGGGGTGTGATTCATCCAGTCATCCACATGCAAAGGTGCTGCCCCACCATCTGTCAATGAAGGAGGAGCCTTATGTGGTCAAGGGCTGAGCTGCTAACCACAAGTTCAAATCCACCGGTCCCTTCTCAGGACAAGATGAGGGGTTCGACTCCCATAAGTAGTTACAGCCCCATACATAAGTCGGAATCCATCTAGAAGTCTGGTTTGCTTAGCTGCTAAAGTGGGTACAATGGTAAAAGGGCTTGAGTAAGGTCTCTCAGTCTGGGAGTCCACAGGCCTAATTTTCGCCAGCGTTCCCCCCACCTCCCCACCCCCTCCACGAGCCCAGCAAGGGCACGTTGACAAGATGACCGTGCGCCCCCATCACCTCTCTCCGTGTCCACAGCCACTGCCAGTCTGCGACTCGCCCAGTTCCCACCTAACAGGCAGGCACAGATACGGCCAGATCCTTCCACTCTGCCACCCAGCCCGTCGGATCAGAGCCAGATGCAGCAAAGCATCCTTCGTTTTCTGGCAGGGCCCCTCTTGTCCCGTGCTGGGACCCGGCCAGCCTTTCTAGAAGTTGCAACCCGGAGAGCCTTTCTAGAAGTTGCAGCGCCGGCCGTCCGGGCGCCTTCCCGCCCTCGCGGCCCGCAGC